GATCATTGTCTTCCTTTAAAGGAAGAGAATGCGCGATCAGTGCACTAGTTCCTACTATATCATTACCAGTGAAAAGAGCAAAGGGAAACAGTCCATATCATGTATTAGGCATTTCTCACACAATCAGGAGAATATGAGGGTCTCTGCCTCCTTGAGAGAGACAGTGATAAATTTATCGCGAATCTAGGAATCCGTGAGCCAGAAGGAATATGGATTGTTCATGGGTGTGAGTGAATTTGACATGCGTGAAAAGTCCGAATTTGAGAGTTTACACTCTCTCGCTGAGAGGACACGCGTAGACACGCCACGTGGGGCCGTGCGACTGGACGCTCCTTAGGGTCAGCCGTCCCTTCTGATGATTTCAGAAGTTTTCACTACCACCTGCCCCTCTCCCTCCCTCTGAACAGGCTTTAGAGGATCCCTCCACCGCTATGATTTTTTTTTGGGGGGGGGGGGTCCCTCGACGACTTCTACCGTTCAGCCCTCTACCACCCCTGTTTGATTGTGAGACAGCTCCACTTACTGCAATCCCGCCCTCTTTTCAGCTACAAACCGGCAGTCGAGCGGGAGAGGGCATTTGGGTGGTAAATATCAATAAAGAAACGACGAAGGCTCCAATTTTGCCATTTCACGCTTTATTTAGGGTGTCCTCCAAAATCGTCGGAAGCTATCAGAAACGCCCTTCCCTCTTTCCGCTCCGCTGCAACAAGACTCGAACTTTCACCACAACGATCCCCTCTGAATCTCAACCACGACCTCTGTTGTCAGTGTCCCCTAAGGACAGAAATCAAAATACCCTCTCCCTACTTCCTCCTCTGCAACAAGACCTTCCCTCCGAAATTCCACTATAGCGATTCCCTCTGAAATCTCAGCTACGATCTCCGTTACCAACACACAGAAATCAAAGCACGGCCCTCCTCCAAAGTTCCTAAATATTACCCCCTTGTTCAAGTTGGTACAAAGAACAGCTAAATCGGTCTCCCTCCTCCCTCAAACTACGGCCGAATTATTTACTAATCGATCGGGAGAAGGGTAGAAACGCACAACGGTTCCTTGGTACTCTTAGTCGCCAAAGTCAACCGAGTCAATGCATATGACCGCCTTCGCCGATTCGGACCTTTTCGCACAAGATTATAAGTTCAGGAACATAGGATGGTTACAGTAATCCATCACATTGTTGTTGGGTGCACACATTGCGCCTTATACCACGTCGAGTACTCACTCAAACGCGTCGGGAAACGCCACGTGCATGACGAAGGGAGTAAAGAAGTTTTCTGACGAAGACTAAGCCTAGGAAAGTGACGAACCCACCTAAAATCCCCTCTTCTTCCAAGGTCTACGCCCTGCTACTGAAGCTTCATGAAGGCTATTTGGATCACAATCTCCAAAAAATAGAGTGGTAGAATTGATAACAAAGAAAGGGAATTGGGAACATGACCGTGCTTTTCTATTCATGAATTGGGTAAATGTAGTGAGATTTGAAAAATGTTATTATTCGACGACAATTCAAAGAGGAAACTCATCGTCGACGCGCTTCGTAAGTCCTCTAGTAGTCATGTCTGTGAAAACACTACTAGAAATCTCTCGACGAAG